GGCTTTTCAAACGCCGTCGCGGCTGTAAGAGTTTCCTCCCTACATTTCAGACCCTCTGCCTTCACTAATCCCGGGACTGGAGGAGCCGGGGCCTTAGCAGTGATACCGAAACGCTCGTGACGGAAGGCCAGAGCTTCCGCGCAGATTTACCTTGTCACGAATGCGTAGGGCGAAGCAAGGGGTCTGGCAGGCCTCGGCCCTCACGCAGAAGCATGTAGAGGGGCCACAGGTGCTGCAAGGGAAGAGGCAGGACTCGAGGTGGCCGAGAAACGGTGGGGCCATGCCTGTCAAGGGAGCTCATGACAGGGCAGCTTTTGCTATCAGGGTGCTTTTGCTGTCACTTCTCCAAAGTCGGAAAAGAAACAGCCTCAACAAGCACGCTGGGGGTTTTTGATCCCTATGCTACTTGCAGAAGTTGCAGCCATAGAAAAGGAACATTTTACTACTTTTACAACATAGCAGGGCCCGTGGCTGGCTTGCTGCCAACACTGTCAGCAGGCTGAAGTGTTGCAGAGCACCTTGTCATGAACGAGTGTCAACCAAAGCGAGTACCACAGAAAGCAGAGGTTTCCTTAGAAGTCTAAGAATTTAAAAACTTGCTGCCATGAAAATGGGTAGATCTGTTCCCTCTATTGCTCCTCTCCCTACCTCCCATCCCCAACACCAGCTCTGGCTTTCAGGGAAGCGACCAAGCCTGGACATTTTGGTACTTGGATTTTTTTTTTTCCTGGCAGTTGGAGGAGTGGAACTTGTCCATCAAGGGGACAAATAAACCATTAGAGCCAGCTGCAGGCAGAAGGTGAGCTCACCCTTTTGAGCAGCAGTGAACCGTTACACCATCTCAGACAGTCTAAATACAGACTCTTGCTTCACAAACACCATTGAACCAGTCAAAGCTGATTTCACCTGCTTCAAAGTGCCCATGGGAATGGAAATAGGGTATTAGTGCAACAAAAATCCACTCAGGAGTGGCCAAATTCCACCCTCCAACAAGAAAAATCTAAAAGGAGAGGCCGAAGAGGTGCCTGGTGAGGAATGTGGTTAACTGAGACCTGAGGGTTTGCGGTACCCCACCCTCAGATGAAGCTGCTGGACTGGCCTTCTGGTATAGGTTATAGGGTTTTATATATTTTGCAGTTAAAGTTGGGTTTTAAATGATGATTGACTTTTTTGTCTTGCTTTTTTTCAGACCGCTTAAAAATGATGATTCTTATGTAAGAGGTCACTCTGACACCGAGGACAAAATCCAGTAAGTTGGAAAAACACGAATAACCCCCAAATACTGTAACACACCCTCCAATAAATTTATACACACACCAAAATACACTGCTGTACTATTTAGACTATTTACAAATGGGTAGTTTCTGTAATTTTGGTATTTATTTTTTGGAATCACAGCAGCAGGGTTTGCTATTGATGGCAAGGAAGTAAGTCTGTGCAAGACTGGAGTAATAAAAAACCCCCCCCCCCCCCCAATCAAACTTCTAAGTGGGATTAGTTTAGCGCATTTCGTAAACCTTATATGGAAAAGACACAGAATTAAAAGGGAAACGAAAGAATCCACAGAACAGCTTGTGTAGGAAATGGAATTAAACTGGTGTTAAATGCAGCAATCTCAGACTCTGGGACATGGTTTCACGCATGGCTGAGACAGTTGCACATGGCTTATTGCTGCCCGAAAAGGAAGTTCTCTCTTCTCCCTCGCCCTCTCCCTCCTCAATGCGTCCCCTACTCCTTTAATATCAGAATTAGATCACGGGGAGTCCCCAAGTGCCAGAGCTGGCACAAGCGTAGGAATCTCACCACTGGCAGCAAGCTGTTAATAGTAGCTCACTGCCTGTTGTTGAGGTGTACTCAGCTTTTTTCTGAATTAGTGAGCTTTCACACTGGTTTTTTAAAAATAAAATGCCTCCTATCTTATGACTAAGTGTATGTTACTTCGTGCCAGGGACAGAACTAGCCCCCAAACAATGACAGCAGTAGATTAAGTTTAATCCTAATGAAGGTCAAGACTGTTGGGGGATATATATTTCATTTCTAGCTTCATTCTGCTCAGCTCTTTAGAGTTTATCTGGGTATTTACCTGTATGACCACACATGCTTCCCCTCCGTTTTCAACAAGCATCTATCAAACATCAGGAGCTGATCGTAAAAGCAACTCCAAAGCCAGCACTGCTGTACTGGAGTATAACGATGGTTGATCTGAGAAAAATAACCAGGGTCAGGATTTGCAATTATTATTTCTTATTATTTCTTACATATGAATGGCCAGCAGTTCAAAACTCTCGAGATTCAGACTCTTTCAGTGCAAGGCATTAAAGGCAGTAATTGAGAAGAGCAGGACAGACATTCAAAACCCTTAGAGGGCTACAGCAGGACTGTCAGGATGTGTCCCAAACTGCAGAGACAGTTGCATCAGGCATAAACCTCAGGGTTTCGGCAGCAGCTGGCTGCAGTGGTGACCTTCACTGCCCCAAACCTGTTCCAACCTGCTCCAAAATCCTAAACCCATTACACAAAAGTGGCAATCAATGGGAGGAGCGTGTGGTGCCTCTGCTCAGACAGACTTGGGAACGGACAGCAGCTGGGAGATGTGATCTGGGAAGGAGGAGCGCCATGCAGGACCATCGTTTCAGCAAGTTAAAAACAGACATCAGACTTCAGAAATGGATTATAAAATGAGGCTGAATAGACTTAAAAAATAAACAACTCCTCCTCATCTGTTTTGAAAATGGAGAGTTGACTTCTCACAACCTTACCACGACTGAAAATGCCAAGTATCACTAGCAGGAAAACAGTCAATATCTCTGCCTTAAAGAACACTTTAATTAATGAAGGCTTATATTCAACTGCATGGGTAAGACAGAAAACAACCCAAACAAAAGCAAGGATTAAACAGAAACATCTATATTCAAGGAAGGCTCCCAGCATAATAGTTGAGGCAGCAAGAGGAACAGTCAATGATTTGCAATGGGTCACCTGTTGTAACTTTCTCAAAAAGCATCTTAAAGTAAATCATTTATTTATAAGAAACCTATCATTAACAGAGACATGCAGGCAAAGAAAAACAATTCACATTTTTGGATTGGTGTGCTGCTTGTGCTTTCAATAAAATTTCAGGTTGGGTTTTCTTTGCTTTTTTTAAAACTTAAAACTTCAGAAGATACTGCTTCGAAGTATTTTGTTACAAATTTCTCAGAACCAAGTTAGTCTGTAGATCGAGGTTCAAAAGAAGTAGATGTTTGAAACATCCGCAAACTTTGGTGATCAGCACACCCACATCAGCAATGTGGATTGGTGTTTTGCTGTCTTTCAAACATGTACAGTGGAAAAGTATCTCATTACAAGCAAAGAAAGGCCAAAAGATGGTTTCATAATAGCAACAGATAAAACAATCTAGCAAGAATACTTCTGCTGAGTAGCAGCTGGTCAACTCTTCACCAGCCTCAACTTCCTACAGGCCTCAGCTTCCCCACATGTTTAAATTATAATTCTTTTGAATGAAGTTAGTTTTAAACCCAACTGGAAGACAGTATTTGGTAGTCCCTCTAAAAATGGGGGGGAAACAGTAACAGCCAGGTATGGTAGTTATGTGAATCTTTAATTATACTTATGTCAGTTTTCAGTTCCTTTTCCCCCTTTTGGTTTCACTTTCTCCATCATAACTGTCTTCTGGACTATTTTTTTTAATATTACATGTTTTTAATCAGACTCAAACCAGTTTGAGTATGAAAATTAAATAGCACTAAAGGTAATATTCTCGTACAAGAATAAAGTTGCAGAACACTAGCAATAAGAAAACAAAAGTATCTTTTTTCCTAATGACAGCCAGAGTCAGATCTGCAGAAGTGACCTCTGAACAGAGGTAAATACAGCCCACAACCACTTCTACTGCTGGCATCTATGAGCGAGCCTTGGCTTTGACAGTGGGAGAATGACCTGGTTTTTCCCTCTTTGTCTAAGAAAGAGGATAGTATATGAGAGGGAAAGAGCGTGTCTGCAAGACTAGCTGTCCAGTTATACTCCTGTTAGCTGTCGTGTGAACAATGCAATTCAACAAATTAACTGAAACAAATAAGCTGGGATTTAGGCAAACGGAACAGTGGTTGGGCCAAGTGAAGCCTCAACCTTGCGGTTGGCAGACAACTGGAAACAGACTCATTTTTTTTTGCTTGTTTCCTCCATGGAATGCGCATCCTTTCCGCAAAAGGCTCTGAATTCTCATTTTAAGATAAGACCATCAGTTATTTTTGGTTTTGAACACTAATAGTATTCACGTTCAAAATTATGTAAATGCAAGTGCTAGAAAATAAACTGTAGTCAAGAAACAACCAATTAAAATTTTTCAGTCTGGGGGTATACATTATTAAAACTTTTCAGAATACACAACTTTGTGACTCAGAGCAATCCCCCTCAAAACCAACAACTTTAAAACTGTTTACAGGAAGCTTTGCCTAACACAGGAGAAAGCGTTACCACGGTTTTAATTCTCATTCCACCGTGTGTCTGTGCTGCTGTTGATCTACTCCGCAACAGAGCTTTTAAACATCTGAAGGATTGTCTTTTGCTTATTCTTAGGCAGTGAACAAATATCATTGGAGTCACTGGTATTAACCACACAATTCAAAACTTTTCCTCCCTTGATGCTAGGCGATTTCATTCGGACTCTGGTAGGGGACTGCCAGTTTTCATTGCAAGAACCTCTCCGAGTTTTGCGGTGATTTGTTTCAGCCTGTTTTTTTGGAACTTTTGAGTCTTTTGCCATCTTAGAACTTCCCTTTCTAGCAGGAGAGTCTTTCACAGACTGAGGTGGTTTGGTGCGAAGATGGTACTCATCTGGGGAACCCTTTTGTCGATTAAGTGTCTTTTCCTCCTTGTTGATCTGTTTTTGTAGCTGCAGAGCCAGAAGCCTGTCCTGCTCCTCCTGCATACGCCTTTCATAGAGCTCCTGCTCAAAGGCCTTCTGCATTTGCAAGTTGAAATAATTTATCTGCTCCTCTTGGTCCTCTAAACTTTCTGGGAAAGTTCTTCTCCTCTTATCAAGCGTGCACGAGTCAACCACTGCTTCAGCTGGTGGCTCCACCAACTTTCTTTTTGGTGTCTCCTTAGTGTTCTGCAATCTCTCTGGTTTCTCTTCATCTGAGTGTCTAGCCACCTTCACGAGATCACACAGTACACTTGTGCTGTCAGACATCACGGAATTTGTTGCTGACTGAGCAGAGGTACAAGTTTTAGCAGAGTTTTCAAGGTTTATGCTTTCTACATGTGTTAAACTGCCACTGTCTGACTCAATTCCATCACCATCTCCTTCGGATCTACGAAGGACTGTTCTAGACCCTTCCCCTTCTGTCATGCCACGAAGCACATCTGGAGCTTCGTCTTCTAGACAATTTGGTCCTGGTGCTTTTTCCTGCTTGGCAGCGGTGGTTTCCCCTGAAGCTGAGGCACTGAAATACTTCATGCACGATTCCAAAAACAAATCCTTAGCACTGGAATCTTTAACCATACCAGTCAGCTGTGGAGACAGCGTCGGCATTTCCTCTTGCTCATCTTGCCACGCAGAACTGCTGCCCTCATTGCTGTTGACGTCCTGCAGAGAAGGGAGAGAGGACTAAAAACGTGGACCTATCAAAAGCCAACGGGTATGAATAAAATGCAAATCTCGCTTCTCACAGCTGCACTGCTCATAACTAATCTGGGATATTAACTTGGATTCTTCTTTTAAAAAAATACATATTTGTTTAACAATAATGAAAATATTTAAAACAACCTATGTATGCCTAGCTAAAAGACTGAAAACACAACTGAAGCGTTCTCCTGTTACCAATGACTCAAATCAACTGTTCAAGCCCACTCATCTTCTTTTGAAGCCTAACAGGAAAGATAAGACAGACATGGAATGATGAAAATGAGAGTGCAACCTCCTCCAGTGAGTTCCAGAACCATCGTTTTAGTTTTACACAGCATCGGTTGCAACCCAGAACTCGCTGAAGACATTCAGGTAAGGCACTTGTAAGGCTACAAAGGTAACTATTGAAGCAGGCCGTAGGTGTGCATCTGTGGACTGTCAAGCATGGTTTCTTCCCTTTCCACTTTGGGGAGTCATGAATACTGAAGGTAGTTCAAAAAAGGCAAGGTGAACAGATGTGCAAGGGGAATACAGGACTGGCAAGGGAAAAATACCCCATAATTACTAACACTGAGATTTATAACAAAATGATTCCAGTTACCACAGAGCCAGAGTCACTCCTGCCTCTTTCTGTTGTTCTAGAGAATGATGCTGATCCCGACGTATGATGAAGCTTTGGAGACAGATACCTTAAAGGGAGGGAGGAAAAAAAAAAAAAAGGTACCTCTTTTTAAACTTTTTTTTCTTGATTTGTCAGTCCTTTGCATTAATCAAGATTTTCAGGTTCATTCTGACAAATAACAACAACAAGAGAAGAGCAAGTGTTTCCCTTCTCCTCCATATTATCCTATGAGGAGTTGTTTTAACATTCAACAGTTTACATTTGCGCCAGATTATTCAGGCAAGTTGGACTACAGGATTCCAAGGAAGCAAATGGAGCAGAGGGACGCTATACCAAGAAACAGATCGATAAGTAAAGAAGAAAAATTTTAATTACTTACTTCTGAATGTCTCCAGAGTTGCTTGGTTTGTTCTTCACCTTGCACAAATTAGTCGGGGATGTTTCAGATAAGAGACTGCCTGCTGGTGAAGGACTGCTGAGCATGTGTTCTTTGGAATCGTCATTCTTCAATGACAAGTGAAACCAGCATTATATAAAACAAAACACAACACAAACTGGAGAAAACCCAGCAAACTACTTTGTTTCTGCTGCAGAATTAGTTACTTTTGTCCACAGAATTCTGGAACTGTAAGTAATGAACAGGTATGGAATAAGAAGTGTTCTGTACACTTCCCTGTATCTGGCATTAAGGGACAAGAGGTTTTGCTCAAATAACTACACAGGTTCATCATTAAGACTATTATTTGGAATAAACCCCAACCAACCAAAACCCCAAAACAAATTAACAAAACAATCAAACAAAAACCCCAAAACATAAGGTAACCTTTCACTGTATGTTCCTTTTTCCTTTTTTTCAGTACAGGTTACAGATAGCAGTTTCTTCCAAAGAAGTATTTTTAAAATCACGGGGAAAAGGAAGCATTCAGAAGAAAATCAATGCTTTAAAAAGTTTCACAATGAAAACATCCAGCACACATTTCACGTGCGTATTACACAGGTAGAAATGTTTGGGGTATTTTACCCTCCTGGTAGTTCTTCAAAAATTAATGGTCAAACAAGGATCTAAAAGTACTGGGGACTGACCACAGCTTCCAACTACAATTAAAATAAATTTAAATTATTCAAAATTTTAACTTTTGCTCTGAAAAGTCTATGTTACTTTCACTATATCAATGTTTTCTCCTGTCCCCCTTGATCCTAACTCACCAGACTGTTACTCAGCTGCCAGGCCAACTCTTCGTCTTGCTTCAGCTGTTTCTCCATCTCCCTCCGTCTCTCTTCTGCCAACCTGCGTTCCTCCTCCTCTTCTGCTAGAAGCCGCTGAATGTATTCCTCGCTTGCCTTGTTCTCCTCTTGTTCATGTGCTCGCCTTTCTGCCTCCACCTAAGAAAGATTTTTTTAAATGCATCTGGTTACTACTATAGGACCAGAATTTACACCAGCACCTCTCAGCTGACGCTCCTTAAATGTGAATGATCCGCTATTCACAAAGACCCCCTGCAGACCTCAAAGCCAGCGTTTAACTACACAGCTCTCCAAAGATGTAAGAATCACACTGATACTGTGTTCAGAGCCTTCAGTTTGATAACAGTGACCCACCTCTTGGTTTCTGTAAGATCACACCGTTAACCTTGCTCGCCTGCACAGGTAAATTCCATTATTCACCTTTTCAAAACGTTAGTTACAAACCCTAAAACCTCCAAATACAAGGATCTGCAGAGAAACTCAGATGAAGATTCTTTATAAGGCTGGATACCAGGTTTGCTCAACCTGCTTCCATCATCATAATCCCAGTATTAGTGCAGGATGCCCAAAAGACAGCACATCTCTCTCTAGAAGAGTCATTTTGCTCTCATGAAACACACAAGACCCAAAGCAGCAGCCCAAGACTTTTAAATCTGCCTTCCTTACGGCAGACATCCACTCTTTATATATCAGTTATCAGTAACTCTGCAAGGACAGCGAAGTACCTCAAGAATGAGCAAAGCTTTCTTAACTGGGTAATGGAATTTGGAAATTTGCTTTAGAGAAGAGCGCCAAGCTGTAATACCACACAAGCTATGTTAAGTCTGAGTTTCAAATCATGTATTGATGCCTTATGACCAGACACCATTACTTATTTCGTTGCTTTTGGACACCACCTCCATTAATGAACCGGATCGTTCCTATCCCCTAACTGCCACAAAAGAGAATCCCACAGTCCTCTGCTTCATGTACCGCCCCTGCTATTGTAAAAGCCAGCAGTGGGGCCGTCAGGGAAAGAAGCATTCCAATACCATTTCCAACGATAATTCTTACTACTACTGTGTCTAAATCGGAGGGGGAAAGATCCTTAAATAGGCAAACATTAAGATTTCTTAAAAATCTTTTCTGATTTTCAAATGAACAAGGGAGCGAGCAAATAAGAAAGAAAATGCTGTATGTTTGTTACTGAAGCTCACCTAAGTGTGGTCTGTAACTTAGGAAGGGAAATCAAGATGGCAAATACAAGACCAAAGCCAAAGCAGTTCCAAGTGTTTATATTTGTTAGTCTGAAATACTTTACGCGCACCTGAAGACCTACAAAAGCCATTTTAGTACGTGTGGGCAGGGATGCGGATAGCGAAAGGGTACCAAGGACACCAACCCTGACAGAACCCTTCTGCGGAGTTTTGGGCAATATGCGGTATTGATGGAGAGACCTGCCTGGGGGTTCTGCAGTGCCTGCACCTCTCCGTGGCTCCCAACCCGCAAAGCACACTGACTTGCAGGGATGACAAAACCAATCAAGAGCCTGAGGTAGGAGTTACAGATCAACTAGCAAAAGAAAAATTGAGAAATGTCACCTTGTCTCAAACATGAAGAAGACTCTCCTCTTCCATAAAGGATAAATATTTAATTCATGCTTTGGGAATGACCAGTGTGCTCTTTAAGTGCTTTTTTAAGTATCTTTCTTTTTCATTAAATAACATTACAGCTGTTTGTAGGAACAATTAAAATAACTAGATACAAAGCATCTATGCTTTTAACTATGTTCTTAGACCTACCTTGCTAATCTCAGCTTCATATTCCTGCCTCAGTTCCCCAGGCTTGCTCAGCTGGTGTTGTGGATGGGGGACACATACTAAACGAGAGGAAGGGAGAAAAAAAAGAAGTGAGGAACAAAGCAAGATCACAACAGTCAACAATGAAGATTTTTAACAAAAGACAGATCACTTCCATACCCTGTCACAGGAATGATATGACTTATCAAGTGCTGTGGGGAAAAAAGCACTTGGTGTTACAAAGGAACAAAATAAAAAAGCACCGTGTTACAGAGTGGCAAGAACAGTCAGTGTTTTCCAAGCACTGTGCATACAGCAAATAAGTATGCTGACCATAACTTAACACCTTTAGCTTTTGTGATTAAAAAGACATCATGATACTGCAAGTGGAACATGTCACAGAGCCAACCTACCAATCAGCCTCCCCCAACAGAGCTTGCAACATAATAAACCCCAAAATCCTTCTCCAGACTTAATCAGATTTCACTTCCTTTTCTCTGACACCACAATTTTAAGCTCGCTCAGAGGCACCTGCGTAGACTGAAGCCCTGGAATTTCTGCCCAAACTAATTAACTAACATTTTGTGCAAAACGCATGAACAAACACCCACTTCAACGGTCGGACAACGTCACTTACCCTCTGTACTACAAAGGAAAAAAGCATGTGTAGAGATTTCTCTGCCTCCCGAGCCCCGTTCCCAGGTGAGCTCTGACATTACCTTTTCTAGCAGTAACACAGCCTGTCTATGCACAGTTTCTTATTTCACAGCATCCAAAGTCCACCAACAGCAATTACTTTGGTAAAGCAGAGACATCCTAGAATAAGTGACATTTTACTTACTTTCCTCTTCCAAATCCTGTCCATTAATTCTACGCTCACACTCCTTCGGGTAATTCTTCTGAATCTTTTCCCAGAGTTCCCAGTTGATAAGAGTATTTCTGCGGGCGTTATATCGTGCCCAAGAAGAGACTCGACGCCGACAAAAAGGGCAACAAAGACTGGCCTTTTCAACCGTCAGCTGGAAGCAAGAGTTACAGAGCGTATGGTTGCATGGCAGCGTCACGGGCTCCACAAAGATCTCCATGCAAATTTGGCAGAGGCAATCGGACAAGGAAAGCGGAGCCTCCGATTTCTTCGACATGCTGATTTGAAGTAGAGGAGCCAAACTAGTATGACATCAGTACCTGAAAGCAAAAAGAAACAGGCGTTTTACTTCCCATAATAAATATAAAAGAAAACAGAAAATGCTCACTTTTACAGCTACTTTATGAAAGCATTGGCAGATTTAAGAAGTCTGCTTCAGTGGTTACTTTTGCTCCGATCCAGAGATTCTTGGCTTTCTGAGGAAGACACTGGTCTTTCCAGAAGCCATGGGGAAACTGTAGCAGCTTTTCCTACCGCAGTTTCCTGTGAGTTGTAACAGGTGCTTTGGGGATAGCAAGGAGGCGGTGAGGAGAGGGGGGAAAAGACATTTCTTCCAGCATTTACTCTCTGCTAGTGACAAGCTATGCTCATGCTTGGTGGATACGTCATTGCTGTTACCTTAACCTTCCATTCAGTCAATTTTTCAGTATATCCGCGTCCTTCAAAAGCCACTTCTGGCACAGACTCAGTTCCAGCATGTTCTGAAGGTGAAATACAACATCCCAATGCATCAGAGGAGAGGAGGTTCTTCCTCATTTGTTCATTTGCTTAAGCTGGGACTAAAAAGTCAAGATACTTTTTGTTAATATAAGCAAAGAACTAACCAGTGTGTTCAACACTTCAGCATCTTCTTGTACGGCTTAAAGCGGCGGGGATCATCCAGCCTTTCTATCGCCAACCCTCCTCACAGGATTCTTCCACTTGGTCCAGAAATACTGTGGAACAGAAAATAAAAGACACATACAGCAAACAGGATATAAATACTGGTTATTTTAAGTCATAGAACTTAATAAAGTTCTTACAAGCTTCATAACAAGCCAGCTCCACAGAGCCAGGAGGTCCTTCTCAGAGAAAGGCCACAATTTCAGTCACACAGGAACTTGACACAGAGACAAATACACTTTAACTTGTTTTTTTATTGTTTCTGCTCTCTCTTTGTTGAGAAAACAATTTAATTTTTAAAAAAGGACGCTAGATACCACACAAACACCCAGCTTTGCAGGCGGTCTGTTAAAAAGACCTACTAAGCCCACGTACACCCGTTGTGGGCTAATTCCAGTTTGCAGAGAGACAGAAAAAACGCTTACTAACCCGCTAAGACGTGGATGCCCAGAGAAGGGGAGCAGGACGGCGGGACAGCCCCACACACTACCCCCGCGGCCCGGCGCACAGGGAACGCCGCTCCGGACGCGCCAGCGGGAACAGCCCGGGCCCATCGGGGGC